ATAGGTAGCATACATAGATATTTAAGAATCCATCCTGCTACCCCTACACATGCATGATGGAAGAATCCAAAAGATGGATTCTATTGTAACAGAAGGGTTGGTAGGGTGTTATAATGCTGTCTTGTCCAAGTTACTTTGGTGGTAAGCCCAAAATTCTTTGATATATATATTATATATGTGTGTGTGCATTTCACTGTCTTTATTTTTTTGTTTTTCATTTATTTATTGGATTGATGACTGCATCTTGTACATACGCCTGGTTATTATTGCCTGTGTACAAGATGGAGAGAACCCCGTAGGTTAAATCAAGTAATAAATGGAGTGAGAGAAGAAGCCAAGGAAAAAATCAAGATTAGAAAGAAAAGGAATATAGTACCTGTATGATACTGCAAACTAAGGACTTGCATTTTATGCTAGTCTTGCATTGAAAGTGAGACAGACTCCTGGTTGAATCAACATATTAGTATGTCTGGAAAAAATTCATAGAGATGTCTTTGGTTTTCAGTATCTATACATACATATTTACACCAGCGTTTCATAATATAAAAGTATTTATAATTGTATAAATATATCATGTATGAAAGGATGAGTAGACCCTTTCAGCCCTTCAATGACCTTGTGATACCCTTTGTAAGGGGTAGCAGTCTTGTTGAAGGTCAAATTAGGGGTCACAGGGTCAATGTAGTTGACTTACTGAATGGAGTTTATTTATTATTAAAACACTGTAACACAATTGGTTATTTAGTGTTACAGATATATGAAGGGAACGGGAATGGGGACAAAGAATTTTAAGAGAGAAACATTATTATTATTATGATATCTGGTTATATGTTTGTTATGCTACTCAGAAGGTTTGTAAATACTATTATGTCCAGTGTACAAAATCATCTCATTGTTGTCATGTTTTGGCTGTATCAGATAAGCTGTAAATGAAAGCACCATTTTGTAGCTGTTGCCTACCAAACCAAAGTAAAATGAAAAAAATAAATGTAAATATGAATGAACAACTGTCATTTCATTGTTTTCTTTGTGACTTTACACAGTATGGTATTATATATGTAATAAGTGATGTTACTCAACAGTACGGTGTGAATCCGGGAGGAATGAAGAATAGCATTTTGTCCCGTCGGCTTAGAACATTTTAAACAATTAACAAGCCCAAGGCGGTTTTTGTTTAAACCGGTCGGAACACAGTTGTTCGTTTATTAGCTCACTTGGCCCTTATGGCATGGTGCGGCGTCCGTCTGGCGTCAACTTTTTACTTTAAACAACTTCTTCTCAGTAACCAAAAGGCCTAGGGTGATGATATTTGGCCAGAAGCATGCTTTGATGAAGGGCTACCAAGTTTGTTCAAATAAATGACCTTCATCAATTTTCAAGGTCACAGGGGTCAAATATGTAAAAATCTTTAATCAACTTCTTCTGAATAACCAAGAGGCCTAGGATGATGATATTTGGCCAGTAACATGCTGGGATGAAGGGCTACCAAGTTTGTTCAAATAAATGACCTTGACTTATATTCAAGGTCACAGAGGGCAAATATGTTTAAAACATTTAAACAACTTCTTCTGAATAACCAATAGGCCTAGGGTGATGATATTTGGCTAGTAGCATGCTGGGATGAAGAGCTACAAAAGTTTGTTCAAATGAATGACCTTCATCTTTTTTCAAGGTCACAGGGGTCAAATATGTTTTTAACCTTTAAACAACTTCTTCTGAATAACCAAGAGGCCTAGTATAATGCCAGTAACATGCTGGAATGAAGGACTACCAAGTTTGTTCAAATGAATGACCTTGACATATATATTCAAGGTCACAGGGGTCAAATATGTTTAAAACCATTGAATGACTTCTTCTTAACAAGCAAAAGGCCAAGAGTGATGATATTTGGCCATTAACATGCTGGGATGAAGGACTACCAAGTGAATGACCTTCACCCATATTCAAGGTCACAGTGGTCAATATATGTTTAAATCTTTAAATGATTTGTTCTATATAACCAAAAGGTCCAGTGTAATGATATTTTGCCAGATGCATGCTGTGTTGGAAGACTATACACTCTGTTCAACTTAATGTCCATGTTCGACATTCAACGTCACAGGCGTCATATGTTTAAATCTTTAAATAGGTTCTTATGAATCAAACACTGATATTCTGCCTGTAGATATATTTTAGTCTACTTTTAAGATTACAAGTGTGAGATTAATACCGGGTGAGCGATGCAGGCCCATTGGGCCCCTTGTTAAATAAGGTCGGACCTAGTAATCTGGTGCTGGCTTCAGGCGAGCTTGACAAAGCCCTGCAAGGCCTGCATAAATATTTGCAGTTCCGCCAGGATTAACACCCGAAAATGTTACATTTATAAACGGGCAAACCGGTTGTTCCGCATAAACGAACAGGCCCCTGCAGGTTGATGATATTGGCGTTTAGTTTTACGGGATGAAGTGTAGAATGTTTCGCCAACTTTCAAGATCACAAGTCGAATGTGTTGAAAACCTTCAGGAGCAACGTCCTATCGGAAACAGCAATGCTCGGGGTTCTCGTACTTGGCCTGTAGTGTGTTTGGATCCTTATTCATGGCCGTAGTGATCATATTCTAATCTTAAAACGACATCTTCTGAAGAACCGCAATGCTCGGAGTCATTGTATTTGTCCCCAGCTTGGTGGGGTAAAGGGCTATCGAGCTGTTTTAAATTGATTTTACACACTTTCATGGCCACGCCTGTCAAATCTGTGGCGTATCCCCGTACCACTGTCAAACACTAGGACGACGTTATAGCTTTATAAACGACCTTTGAAAAGAAAACCATGCTTACTGGAATACAAAGTAATACTCAGAGAGTAAAAATGGAACCACGGAACTCTGATCCCATTTCGGTTTCTCTTACCAATGGATCTATCTGATCGATGGCGGTTCCATGTCCCTGTTCCACTTTGTAGTTATATCATGGAATCATATTAAGTGGGTTTTATATTACTGTACGGAACTCTCCAGTACATTGTCTGTGGAGGTACATGCAGGAACCAATAGGTTTCCAAGCCTCGCAGATAAATCTTGTACAAATATCTGAAAGCAATCCGTGTGATTTACTGACGGGAATCCTGAAATAATGCTTACACCACAAATCGTCCTCATGTTGAAATAGAGAACATGACAGATAGCCACAAGTAGTCCTCATGTTCAAATAGCGAACGTGACAGATAGCCACAAATCGTCCTAATGTTCAAATAGAGAATGTGACAAATAGCCACAGAGCGTCCTCGTGTTCAAATAGAGAACGTGATAGATAGCCACAAATCGTCCTTATGTTCAAATAGAGAACGCAATAGATAGCCACAAATCGTCCTAATGTTCAAATAGAGAACGTGACAGATAACCACAAATCGTCCTCGTGTTCAAATAGAGAACGTGACAGATAGCCACAAAGCGTCCTCATGTTCAAATAGAGAACGTGACAAATAGCCACAAATAGTCCTCATGTTCAAATAGAGAACGTGACAGATAACCACAAATAGTCCTCATGTTCAAATAGAGAACTTGACAGATAGCCACAAATCGTCCTCATGTTCAAATAGCGAACGTGACAGATAGCCACAAATCGTCCTAATGTTCAAATAGAGAACGTGACAGATAACCACAAATCGTCCTCGTGTTCAAATAGAGAACGTGACAGATAGCCACAACTCGTCCACATGTTCAAATAGAGAACGTGACAGATAGCCACAAATCGTCCTCATGTTCAAATAGAGAACGTGACAAATAGCCACAAATAGTCCTCATGTTCAAATAGAGAACGTGACACATAGCCACGAAGACTTGCACGATTTGCACACAACGGGCACCAGGAATACATTCCTAACTCGACGAGACATGTAGACATCCTTTAAAATCTTAATCATGTCTTCTTATTAATTTGAGGCAAAGTGTCAATACATAGCCAGTAGCTGAACGTTATTAAGGGCTATCCAGATTATCACATAGTTCTACTGATATTGTGATAACCGAGGCCAAGGCGTTAGAGTCAAATGCATTCAAAACATATTACTTTTAAAGTATTTCAGCTTGAAATATATTTTCCCCGTCACCATTAAATAATACGTGTTCATAAATCACGTGTCTGTCCCCAAAGATCAAGGTTACAGCAAATGTCAGATCATTGTAACTCTTCCCATATTTACTAACGACAGGTCTGAAGAAGACTATCGGTAAGTCGTATTGTCTTCATCGTTGTGAAAATGTGCTATTTCATTGTGTGATATAAAAGTCGATGTTTACGACTACGCTCAGTAATGTGCCTTGTAGTTTTCTTGTCACTACCAGATTTGTTGATGTGAAAACGTGACATTACTTGGATTTGACTAAGATTTACATCGCATGTGACGGCGATGAAGTAGACGACGCTAACCATTCCGAAACGCCTGGTCTCATTAGCCTTGTGCTTTTCAAGGATCTCCGTGTAAATCTTTCCGTTGTTCCTATATTATCCTATCGACAAGCTGGAAGCTTTTTCGATTTTGAGTTCGAATTTTATTTTTGTTGACACTTCGAAGTATTCTCTTGTCTTTTCTGAACATATTTTAATGTTTGTTAAGCATGTATGTTTTCGATTTGTTTGTTTGACAGTCAAGTATCGGAAGTCTAAACTGCCATACGTGTGCAATTGATTGCATCGACCAGAATTTGTTTGAAACCTTTGAACTCCAATTCAAAGGTTAGAATAGTTCTAACGAAATTTCAGGGGTGAATGAGTTGAAGCAAACCGACCCATTTGATACCCCAGGTTCAGGTTACCCCTATGTTTGTATAACTTTGATCCGCATGATGCAAAGATGGTACCACTAAACTTTGGTTGAGTTCTGCTCTGTAGTTTAAGAATGGATGTATTTAATGGAAATGTCGACAGACGACGGATCAAGCACTACAGCTAGTATTTCAGGTGAGCTAACAAACAATGGGATGGGAAAGCAAGCAAGATACTTTTCGTACAATTAATTCAGGTCCTTACCATTTAATACAAATGACTATATTTCGATTACTGATACAAACAATATATAATATGTTATTGCTAAAACATTGCCATCCATTACTCAGACAAATAAATCCCTGTTTTTACACAAAGTGTCTTTACCCGTACACACGTATGTAGAACATGTCTTTACACACACATACATAGAGTCTTTATTACCACTACATGATAAATAGGCTGTTTGGAAGGACAAGCGGCGGCAGTATTGAGAACCATAGAGAACTGTTGAGTTCGTTTCCAGATTATGTTTTAGTTAGAAGTGAAAACAGGTGCTTTGTTTTCCACACTGATTTGAGATTTAATACACAATATATACGTACTTTGAGACCGTTTCTAACGTGCATGAAGTAAATACATTGTTTGATGTTTTATGGATATTGTCCGGGGTAAGAGATTTGGTGGGGTATTGACCTAAACCCCTTAAAATGCACCCTCAGGCCCCTATGGATCACACAGCCACTTTAGAAGCGGCCTAACATAACTAACGATTCGTGGACATGCCATTCCCCCTCTGTTGTATCTTGTGCATTATTCCTGGTCACCTCAGCACCTAACGACTCTCTTATCACATGACCTCACATGGTCGGCTGTACATGTAACTTAGGTTACATTGTACCAGTAAATCTTTACAAATATGCATAAGTGGCCTTTTCCTGAATTAAATGACGCTATGATTATTTCCCTTGGCGATTGTAGTTACTTTGGTAGGTGGTTAATAGTAGTTTTGTTTGTGGTCAACAAAGATAAATAAAGTTTAATATCCACATATATGGCCATGCATTTGGAATTTAAAATTAATGTCATTGCGTTTTGACAATGATATTTAGGTAGCCATCCCCATCTATCCTGTCCATATGCTCTTCATAACCTTGACTTGTTGACCTTGACCTTTGCTGTCGCCAGCCGAGCGGCGTCCAGTGCTGTTCCCCAGCTAAAGCACACGCCATTAGCTCCGTGGCCGTAATTATGGACGATCTATAAAGAAACCACAGAAACAAGCATGTTAAAAGAAACCCCTACATACAAATTCTTTTTCAATTAATAGGAGTCATAATAAGGAACAATAATGACTTAATTACGAATGATTACGTCCGTACTTCCAAGTTTCTTATTAACATGTTACGTCCAAACTTGAACAGTTCGCCTAAACACGTTACTCCCGTACTTGAATAGTTCCCCTCACACACGTTACTTCCGTACTTGAACAGTTCACCCACACACGTTAAGTCCGTAGTTGAACAGTTAACCCACACGGGATACTTCTGTACTTGAACAGTTCAACCACACACGTTACGTCCGTTCTTTAACAGTTCACCCACAAAGGTTACGTCTGTACTTAAACAGTTCACTTACACACGTTACGTTTACACTTGAACAGTTCACCCACACAGGTTACGTTTGTACTTGAACAGTTCACTTAAACACGTTACGTCTGTACTTGAACAGTTCACTTATACACGTTACGTCTGTACTTGAACAGTTCACTTACACACGTTTCGTCTGCACTTGAACAGTTCATTTACACACGTTACGTCCGTACTTGAACAGTTCACTCACACACGTTTTGTCTGCACTTGAACAGTTCACTCACACACGTTACGTCTGTACTTTAACAGTTCAACCACACAGGTTACGTCTGTACTTTAACAGTTCAACCACACAGGTTACGTCCGTACTTTAACAGTTCAACCACACACATTACGTCTGTACTTGAACAGTTCACTTAAAATCATTAGGTCTGTACTTGAACGGTTCACTTACAATCATTACGTCTGTACTTGAACAGC